TTTCTTTTTAATACAATTGATATTGATACTTTTATTATTATTATTATTATTATTATTGATGTTATGATTATTAAATTGTTATCAAAATCTTAGTAACATTTAAGACCATTAAATAATGCAAAAGACCCTTTCCAAAAGTCTAATAAATGACTCCTTGGTGACTAAACACATATAGAGCCATCTATGTGTAAATACAATAAATAAACTTCTACTAAAGTGGGCATGGCATGTATTCATGCCATGTGTGCAGATTGGGTTAAGATGTGACCACTGAGCAGTTGTTCATTTGTTTGGCCCTGAGAAGATAGAGCTTAAAGTCTCTCCTTAGCCACATTTTCTAAAAAACGGTAAATGCTGTAACCAAAAGCAACTTGTTAGAGAAACTAAGAGAAATTTCTAACACCTATTTTTCCCACCACCCCAACTTAGAACATTCTTTCTCTCTCTTCAGATATGTAGTAACTGCAGTGAGGCAGGAGCAAGTGTTGGGTGTCTAGGAAAAGGGTGCTCTCTCCTGGTCCATGTGCCGTGTGCCACCCAACTCCAGTGGACTTTGGATCACAATACCTTCAAATCCCTCTGCCCCAAGCATAGTGTAAGTAGCTAGAAGGCTCGGCACAAGCCTCAGCTTCTAGTGCTTTGATTGAAAGGAAGTCTCGGGCTTGTTTTCCTGTCTCTCATCTACTGATTTTTTTGTTATCAATTATCAATTATGTCTTATGCCATTCAGCTTTGAGGAGATTTTTTATCATTATTTTTTCTACCTTATCTATATATTATTTATTTTTATTATTATTATTTTTTAATTCCAACTTTTGTGTTCCATTGTTGTATGAGATATGGAAATGATTTCTTATGGTACTTTGATACTCACTATTTGCATTATCATTGATCATTGTATAGAGGTGTCTTCCATAAATCTATTTTTATTTATTACGTAATATCATTGTCCTTTTTAATACCATTTTGTTGTGTCTGTACAGGTTATGGATATGTTTTGCCAGAAATCCTAGGGTGATTTTTGTCTCATTTTATAAATCTGGTAATAATTTTGTTATTTACCAAATTCTAGTTGATATTATGTATCCCTTGGAAATTTTGGTTGTTTATGTATGGAAATTCAATTGGTTACAATCTTTTTTTTTCTTTCTTTCTTTTTCTTTCCTCTCTTTTTCAAGAAATTGTCATTAGTGTATATTATATGAGTGAAAATTTAGTGAGGAACTGTACTTTTTTTCTGTGCATCATTGTTTTGTTTTGTTTTGATTTCATTTGTGTCTCTGTAGGTTTATGTTAGAGAAAGTTCTTCAGTGGTTTACTATCTTCCAGACTTATTTATTATCATAGGAAAAAAAAAAAGGCTTATGAATGTAGGAGAAAATATTGTATTCCATGAAATACACAAGTATGCACAAAATATGCAGTAGTTGAAGTGTAGATGATGCTGTATATGAACAAAAGAATGTAAGAATTTTTAACGGCTTTGATTTGTCATTATTATTTTCATTATTTATTATTATCAATTTATTTTGTATTGTAATAATATGAAATCCTCAGGGAACTTAATAGGGATTTTGAATAAGTGACAGATATAGCATTGAGACCTTTTTTTCCACATAGAAAAAAGTAGTATCACCGATTTGATATTTCAGTCGATAGATACATCTTGGTGAACTTTAGAATACTAGTAAGATGCTATGGCAAAACCTGTACCCTTCAAATTTCCCTCATATCAATGCAAATTTCTATATAGTGTTCTGTTGTTTATTCTTTATGTGGCATTTATAATAGTGAGATTTTTTAAACATCCACAGTCATTTTTATGTTTTACTAGGATTTTTAAGTGGAGGAGCAGAGAAAAAGAAGAAGTAATTATAGAAATGCTGTCTTTGAATATACAGATGTATTTCCTTTGATAGAACAGGAATGATGATAGGCATCTACTTGTTTTGTGATAATGTTGTCATGGTGTTTTATTTTTACAGGGAGGGACTGCGGGAATGTATATTATTTTTAATGTATATTTATTTTATGTGAAACATGATGAAAGTATGTATCTGAAATTTTTTTTCATAAAGGAATATCAAGTTTATGAATGTTTGAGAACCTTAACAATTATTATTATTTTATTTTATTTTATTTTATTTATTTTTTTATTTTTTTAATCATTGTCATATTTTATTTTATTTACAATATAACTGGCTTTGGATTATAACTGCATTTGTTGTTTACAACCTTGGCAAGCATTATTAGTGTGCTTTATCATGACTTGATAGAAAGTTAGTCTTCTCTCCATTGTCTCATGATTCAAAACTATTTTAGTTCTGTTTCCCACAGTTTTTTTTCATCACACTATTCTTAATATACAGTAGACTCTCCTCTATCAGTTTCCTTTAATTATTAATTCACTCATTGTGATGAATATTATACCATGTTCTGGAAAGTGTTTTGTAATGAATGAGAGGTAGAATGATCAGAGATGAAGGCCATCAGAGTTTAGATGAATACATATAAAAAGAGAGAGAGAGAGAGAGAGAGGTGTGTGTCTTTCTCTTTCTCTCTCTCTCACTCTCTCTCTCTCTCTCTCTCTCTCTCTTTGTCTCTCTCTCTCTCTCTCTCTCTCTCTCTCTCTCTCTCTCTCTCTCTCTCTCTCTCTCTCTCTCCTCTCTCTCTCTCTCTCTCTCTCTCTCTCTCTCTCTCTCAATCTCTTTCTCTCAATCTCTCTTTCTCTTTCTCTCTCTTTCTCTCTCTCTTGCTATTGTGTGTGTGAGTGAGTGAGTGAGTGAGTGAGTGAGTGAGTGAGTGAGTGAGTGAGTGAGTGAGTGAGTGAGTGAGTGAGTGAGTGAGTGAGAGAGAGAGTGGGTGAATGAGTTGAGTGAGTGAATGAATGAATAGTGCCTCCAAAACCATGTTACAATCCAAGCTGAGAGAACATAAGCCTCTCTCTTCAGTCTAAGCAACATTACAACATTTATATATTATTAAAATGCACAAAAAAAATATTCAAACAAAATCAAACTTTTGCATAAACATGGCAGAAATATGTATTCCCTATGTAGGTGCATTCACAGTAAGGAGATAAATCCTCAGTGTCATTTATGTTTGATATGCCTAATATTGCTAAGCAATTCTGAAATAAGTGATTTTAATCAGACTCAACTACTTTGTGACTGGGAGAAATTGGTCATGATAATTAATCAGAGGAAGCCAGGGCCAGTAATTGCAAAATGAGACCAATACTGTAGTTATTGACTAGTTATTAAGGGTTAACCCAATGGGGACATCAGCCCGAATCACTGGCTCGCCGCCGGCTTGTTTGGCTGCACGCTGATTGGCGTCACCCGGCACCAAGGGGTTAATAGGTAAAATTATTTTCATTGGGGTACACTTAATTTATTTTCATTCTCTAGTATACTCGCAGATGTTACCTGATTGAAGTGAGAGTACACAGTAAATTGTCAAAGTAAAAGAAATGAGGTGATGAACTGGGTGCAGAAATCTTGATCGAGCCAGTTGCAGCACAGGAGAAAGGTATACTAGTACCTGAAGACATACCTTGTTATTATTGCAACAATGCCCTCTCCTTTCCACCTTGCTTCATCCACCACTTCCTCTCCTGACACCCACCTGAACCACAGGGAAATGAATGATATGAAATTAAAGTTGAAGGAAAGAAATCTACTATCCCAAAAAAAATTATATTATCAATCCTGATTTTTCATGCTTTACAATATTGGATATTACAGTAATTACCATGTAAGAATGAAATAATTATGGGAATAGTTGAAATATGTTAAAACTGGGGAATATAACAAATAGATGGGTATTGGAGGTTGATGTTTTAAGTGAAGATCATGTGTTGGAGGTACAGTCATGGCATTATGTGGATTAGAATGTCACTGGCCTGTCACTCATTATCTCATGCATTGGATATGTGTCAAATACTGTAACATTAATGATTTGATGGTTACAAGAAAGGAGGAGAGGAGAAAGAGGGAAGGAGAGGGAGAGAGAGAGAGCATATTTCAAGAATGATCATCAGGAAACATTCCACTATCGAGGTCTTTTTTTTTTCTTAAATACTCTATTTAGGTTTTTGAGTTATAGTAAAGAATGTGAAGATCCTGAAAAGTAGAATGATTTATATGCAAAATTGTAGGTGCATTTTGCAAGAAAGATCAATGAATTCCTTAATCTGAACAAGAAAGCTGACTAGGTTGCTCCATTTGTCCTTTTTTTTTTTTTTTTTTTTTTTTTTTTTTTTTTAAGCAAAATTTCAGATAGACAATTTTCAAAATTTATTAAAGCATGAGATAAGCGAATGGAAGAATCTCACAACAAATTTGAGCAACAAAATAAGGTTTAAAACATACAATGGAAATTAAATTTGCATAATTTTACAACACTTGTTGTTTCGAGAAATGTAAACTTGCCATACACCATAAACAAAAAGTAGAATAGAATATGTTTCATGGCTTAACTTAATTTCTGTCTTTATTAGAGGATTAAAAAAAAAAAAAAAAAAAAAAAAAAACACACACAGGATTAAAATAGGTACCAACATAAATATACACACCCTGTGTTTATTTGCTTTTGACAGGTGTACCAGAGAGTTATGGATAATATCTTTTTTTCTTCTTCTTCTTCATCCTTCTTTTCCTTTTAAAAATCATTATGAAATAATGTATGAGAAACTTTTGATTAGATAGGTGTAGGAAAGACAGAAAAAAAAAAAAAAGTAACCAATAGAATAACTAATCTTTGTTTCTCTTATTTTATATTGTTGGATATTATGATAAAATGGTGAAAATAAAGTAAAAGTTTAATATTTGATTTGATAGATGGAAAAGAAATATACATTCACAAAATTTTAAAATATTTTTGATGGGGGCAAAACCCCCCAAAATATCAAGGGAGGCTTAGTATGCTTGGGAGAGATTTTTCAACTAACTATAAGTCATATAACTCAGTCTCAATATATTCAACTTCCGCCCGTGGTGTCTGCGGTTGGTTCCACTGCACATGCATCAAACAAAGGAATTACCCGTCATTAATATTTGTGTTCCCAGAAAAAAAATTTTGGTACTTACCCACAACCTGGTTATAAAAGAAAAAAAATTTCAATTACAAATGTCTGATGCCCATACTGCAGTAGATATGGACTAAATGTAATCACTGTAACCTGTATCTCTAGGGATAGGCATAATGCATGAGCAGTGTTGAGATGATACCTAAGAAAATATTACAAAATTTTACAATTGTATTACCTGTGGCAAATACACACACTGGAGTACATCTATGAATAAAAGTAGAAATGTCATATCTCAACAATGATTGTGAAATATAGGGATGAAACTAAAAATTAATTTAGGATAACACTTGTCTCACAAAGAATGCAATAGGCATAGACTTTGATAGTTTTTTTATTCATATAAAAAGTGTCCAAATACATAAATAAAAGTTACATTATTACAATATTTCATGGTAAAAGAATGGGCATATTGCCACTAAACAACCAAATAGCCAGTGTTGAAGCAGAGTAGCAGCCCTCACATATACATTCTTACTATCTTGTACACATGCAATGTGTATATT